AAGGGAGGGTAGGAGAAATACATGAAGACAAGCTTCAAGTTGTTTTAATGAAAGTGTAAAGACTTTATTAGCAAAGAGGTATAAAACTTCTTGCGAATATCTTTTTTGTGTATGGTCAGAGGATCAGCAGAAAGAGTTTTTAATAATTCTCTCTTATTACTTTCTAAAAGTGTTATAGCTATAGAATAAATATCTTTTTTATTGAAATAAAACTTCAAGAACTCACACTACTTACAAAAACACAATCATTCTTTTATTCTAAAATTACTTCAAGATTTTTTTATTCTGATCCAAATAGTTTTTTAACTTTCATATTATATAAAAAATACTACGAACCTTATACTATTTTTCTGAATACACTCAGTATTGATAACAGGTTGTAATTATTAGGATCAAAAGAAAGGTGTAATTCTTCTTTCCTAGAACTAACAAGTTTACCATGGCATATTAGTTGAAAGGGATCCAGAAGAATTAAAGATCTAATAAGAAGTATCTGGTTTTTTTCTAGATAATAGGAGTAGTAGAAATTTAATCCAACTAGATATTTCCAGATAACAAGCTACTCAGTAAATCCATTAAAGGTCAGTTTTGAGAAGTTTAGTAATATAAATAATATATAGCTTCATATAATTACTGTATTAATTTATATATTACTTTATCAAAATCAATAAATATGACTAAGCTTCTATTCCAAAAAAACTGTGTTATAAAGATGTGACATATTGATACTAACTTGATCCTGCTATAAAAGTTTTGCTTAATTAGAGTATCTATTTTATTAATTTTAGCTTTTTTAAAATTGTGTTTTGTAATAAATATTCGATTTGTGAATAAAGGATACAATTTAATATACATCTATTTAATTTGTTAATTATTTCTTTTCAATTGATAATATTGTAAATTAGATTAACTTTTTTATAATTAAGTACCATTAATATGTTTTTTCCATTTTTGCTTTGTGTTATATACCCCATACTTTTACTGATAAATTGGAAGTATTGAGTTGAATAAGCTAATTTTATAACTGTAAAAACTTTTTGAGTTTATTTATAATTAGCAGATCTAATTTGATTAAATTTATTATAATTTTATTTAAGTAATAAAATAAATTACTGACTATTTTAATTAATTCTATATATTTATAATTTTATATTATAAAGTTGTATCATTCATATAAGTTATATTTAAATTATCTACTTTTTTATCTTTATTTGTAAGTTGATATCTTGATTCTACTGATAAGAGAGTTATAATATATTTTGCTATAATATAATGAAATTATGTTACCTTGGTTGATTTCTTCTTGTACTATATATAGATCTGTATTATCAAAAAAGATTATTATTTAATTTTGTCTGTTTATTAATAGATTTTCAATAATTTTGATAAAAACTCTTTCCACTGATCCTCTAACCACACACAAAAAAAGATGTTTGCAAGAAGTTTCTATATTTCTTTACTAATAAAGTCTTAATACTTTCATTAAAACAACTTGAAGTATGACTTCAAGAGTTGCTTCTACCTTTTTTCTTTTGTTTATAAACTTTTTTACTCAAAAACTTGATTTCAAGTAATCAAGAAAAGTCAAGTAACACCTTTGATACCAATGGTAAGAAAGTTCCCAAAGGAAGAAGAACTGATTGTGAAGTATCTGAAGACCTATTTAACCTTTGAAACGAGAGGTATATAGAGGTTTTTGATGATATAAGGGCTTATTTTTTCCATCCAGTCATTTGTAGGTCTCTTAGAACTATCATTTTCATAGTTTTCTGGAAAATTTTGCCTACTTCAGTTTGACCCTAAATTTTTAGTAACATAAATCCTCACCAAAGGTGATTGGTTGACATGAAACACATTAGTTTTTAAAATATAAACAAGCTCCTATTGGTCATATTCACATGTTTTGATAACATCATTGGTAATTGGAAAGAAGGTTCTGAAAATGTTTACCCCCAAAAAGCTCAAGTCCCTCAATGAAAACTTCCATGATACCAAAAGATCAAGTGATGAGTAATGTGGATTGCAAACTTCTATTTCTTATCTAAGTTTCTCAAGTAGTGGCAAAGCTTTAATGGAAAAAGGGTGAAGTCTAAATGCTTTCCTTAAGATATCTCAATCCAGTACTCACTTATATGAAAAACCAGTTGGATTGACTCATCTGATGCTACAGGTGGTGAAAAAAAAGATTTTTTTTGAGGTTCAAGTTAAGCAAGAAGACTATTCTAATCAGACAGATTCCTTTTGAGAAGAAGTTATTTTTATTTTTGGATTTTTTTTATGGGCCTTGAATTGTTCCCTTTTTTCAAACATTTTTTTCCTTTTCCATTTTTTTAACTTAGCAATTTATTGGTTTTCAGGCAATTAACAGTGACAAACTGTTGACAATGATCCTGGTAGATAGAGATTATTATCAATCTATTAGGGGAGTAAAATATTATTCTCAAAATCTGACTTAGAGTACTTTTGTATAAAGATAAGTTGTCACTTTTTGAAAGTCTCAAATATTGTAAATTCATTTCATTTTTTAATAAAGACATACCATTGTGATATGATTGTGGATTAAAAAATATATATATATATTATAAATTATAACAAAGAAAATAAAGTATATAAAAAAACTAGACCTGGGGTTCACTATAAGTCGTGAAGATCTGCGTGGATGGATAAAAAATCAATACCAAAAGAAAGGAAGCAACAAACAAGAAGCTGGATCCGAGTAGGCGATAAGTACCTCAGACGGTCACAAGAAAATAATCAAGATCACAAATGGATAAGTTTCTCAGACAGTCAGGAAGAAGAAGAATAACCCAGAAGGGTTGTTTCCTAATGAGAAGAGGTCTTTTAGTAAAGATTCTTTGGAGGATATGTAGCACTTTTATTTTCTCTTTTTCTTTTTCTTTTCATATAGGTACATTTGTATATTTTTAGATATTCCCCTTCCTTTTATTTTCCCTTTTTCTTATTGTAGTTTTTAGAAATCAGTTCCTTGGAGAATAATCGACAGTGACAACTTGCTAGCAATGATAGATAAGTTAGGAGGGTCTTCACCCAAAACTAATTCTGGAGCGAAATATTGTTCCCAAGGTCGCACTTAGAGGCTTGAAGCTCATTTGAGATTTGAAAGTGACGAGTGAGTTAGTATGAGATTTAGTTTAGTCAAAATATATTTGCCCAATATATCATATGTAGTTTTGTTATTTATGATTAATAAACGCACTATGCTGGCCTGACTAAGGGTTAAAAAAAAAAAAAAAAAAGTATATGAAAAAACTAGTTTAGTAAAACAATAACAAAATTTAATTCCATACTAATTAATCTAGTCTTATTATTAATTATACTGTATATTAACCATTTGGTTTCTAATTAGGTTCATTATTTTAAAAGTGACAATAGGTATAGTTAAAATAAATCGTGATAGGTTATCTTTAATCTGTATATACAGTATATAGAAATATATAATGATTGATAAAATTCATTAATTTATAAATGTTAAGTTAATTTTTAATTAAAAAAACAATACAAAACAAAAAGATTCTAGTCAAAGTTTATTGAAACTCATGTCATGTGATCCGGCCTTAATTATAATGGATTAAATCGCGTACTTTGACGATTAAGATGATTACGTATATACCTGAGTCACGAGATATTATGACAAAGTTTAAAAAATCTACGCGAATCAATAACATTTCACTCTAATGTCTGACCGCATACAAAGGTACTTCTTTTATATGAAATTTTTTTCAATCTATCATTTTTAAATTTACTCACGTATTACAGACCAGAGATCAAGAAAACGTACGGTAAACAGAAAGACACATCTGTCGAGGACGCGATAATGTATGACATTATTTTCCTTCTTTTGCTGCAAAATTAGTATTGACCTCCATGTTAAATATAATTTTAAAGCCAACCACGGGTTCACCACCGAAAAAATGGTTGCATTTTTAACGACCTAACAAGCTTACAAGAAAATAGAGAAAATATTCCGGAACAGTTTCAAAATATTAAAAAACGCGCCGCACCCACAATAGCTAATGAATACCTGGCGGCTGATATGAAAAGACAAAAAAAAAATACATCAGGAAAGGTATCGCAAAAATATATTGCTGAATTCTTCAAACCGACATTCGCAATTCCAAACGAAAATGAAGATTCCGATAATTATATGAAAAGAAAAGGAAAAAATTCGACAATTCCGCGTTTCGATTCAGGAAACAGAGTAACCCCTTCTACCACTATCGAAACAAAGAGACGCGTTAAAGAATATGAACAATTGTTTCTCGATCTTGGACAAAAAAGTTTTAATACCTGCACCTGTACAGATTGCAATATGTCATATAACCGAGGTACGATTGATGACGAAGCGCTGCATGCAAAATATCACCAGGCTATTGTGGGAGGAATCGTTTATACTGTAAAGAGAATTCCATCACCCCATTGCATTATCATTTAGTGAACTATAACTAAAAATTTGTTGCAACGTTGTTATACTAACAGAGTTACAAGAATGAAATATTACTACAGCTATATCCCGAAATCAATGGAGGCCGTGTTATAATGTTGAAATTTAATCAATCAAACCCATTTGAAAAAAGAAAGGTACGTACGTTGCATGAAAATTAATTGCACGTGATTTTAACCTATACAATTGTTTTAGATTCGCCAAATTCTTGATGTGATTAATACAGAATTATGCGCAGTAGAATTAAGTGAAGAGAGATTAGATAAATGCAAGATATATTTGTACGTTACGGATAAAAAAAGGGTTATGGGATGCGTTGTGGCCGAACCCATATCACAAGCATATAGAGTTGTCGAAAGCGGTAATATGCTTCTTCAAATTGGGACATCAAGTGATGGTTCCGCAATCTTTTGTTGGTACATAAATTTTTACTTTTCGTTATTTAAGGTTTTAACATGTTAATGACTTAAATTTAAATAGTACCAAGCCTGTTCGTGCAGTATGTGGTATTAGTCGCATATGGGTATCAAGACACCACCGAAAGAAAGGAATTGCGACAAAATTACTTGATAATGTCAGGTATGTAGTTGTATCGGATGCATCGACAAAAATTGTAACAAAGCTTACATCTCATATTTTAGAGCACACTTTATATTTGGGTGTATTCTTAAACCGGATGACTTTGCTTTTTCGCAACCAACCGGCGATGGGAAAGCCTTTGCCTCTCGTTACACGGGGACTCCAGAGTTCCTTGTGTATGTCGAAAAATAGCCATCTTTATTCCTAGGTCAAAAAATATCATTATATTTTCGTTTTCCTGTAGCTTTAACCATGTATTGATACATAGTAATTATGTAAAATGAAAATTTAAAAATAAATATTGCATTTATTTTTTTCGGATAAAAACAAAGAGCAATATATATTTTTTTGCAATGTGTCGTTGACAACATTATTTATTTAAAAAATTTGCTTTGATCACAAATAGTTCCTATTTTCTAAGTCTAGCTATTATAGATTAATATATGGCATATAAAATTAATTTTTATTATTTTTTTTATTTTTAACCTGCAATCAGATTATCTTGTGTCTTATACAGTATAAGCAAAATTATTTATATAATTAACTTGTTATTTAATTTAGAAAATAATGTTTTACTTCTTTGCAAATATGTCTTAACTTTAATTTATAAAATTATTATCTAGTTGTCAAGTTAGAACTTTTAATGAATTATTATCTCAAGAAAATAATTTATTATTAGTAGGATGAAAAAATTCATAAAATTCATTATCTATATGGTTGCTTTCAAAAATTTGAGTCCATTTACTATGTTTTGTAGTGAGAATCATGTCAGATAGACTGAATTCCTTTATCTATC